TCCTCTTTCGAATGAGCCCTCACCCAGCCCAAAATGTTCTCATGTAAGGACGAAAAGTGTAGTCCCGTAAACCCCTGTTTAGGCCCATTTTTGCCGGTAATGTCAACGCGCTACTATTACCCGTGTCTACCCCCTTAAGTTTGATAGCGAACACTGCAAGACGGTTTTTCGCTACACCAAAGCTGGTAGGTCGCATCCAAGGAGCTTCCGCTTTCGCTCACTCGTTAAGCTTGGTTGCGAACCTGACACGTAAGAGAACCGCTGCGAACCGATGATAGAGCGCTCCGGGTCTATCGTGGAACCTACGCCGTTTTATCGACAAAAGAATTGGCTATAAGATTCTATGTGATAATCGCATCAGAGATTTGCAACAGACTACGATCAGAATCGAAGTGAGTTCTCGCTGCGTGGCACGCCTCTATTTATACTGAGAAGCTGCTGACGTAGTAGTTTTTTCTCCATGAACTTTCACTAGCGGAAGTTTCTGGATTTTGACCTTCGCGTATATTGCTGTCTCTTTTTACGGCGCAGTTGTCGTCTCTCTCTTTTTTTACTAACGCGCGCTCTATGTATAATGTCGATCTCTTACCGACGCGACGCGGTGGTTTTATCGGCAATTTTCGATTGAATATTGAACATAATTTTTAATTAAATACCGTTATCGTTAATAAATAAAAAGATATTTAGTTATGAAACACAAAGACCGTTATTATTATGATTAATTAATCGTAGAATACAAAAAAAAAATAAATAAACTGTTACAAAAATTATATAAAAAATAAAATGTTTACATGTTTTTTTTCTTTTTTTTTCTTCTTATTCTTCTTCCTGCGGGATGTTACACTTGTGAAAACAACGGTAATAACAATTCTTATTTATTTCGCCTCTTGACGGAGCCACTTTTTATGTGTATTTGCCGTCACTGAGCCCCCTCTACCTACAAGTAGTAGCCGGCATTTCGATATAAATTTCGAGAAGAACCAGCCGTCCTACAGAATAGGTTTTCGATTTTTGGACCGATAATTCTCGCTACAAAGACTTTTATGCAGGAATGCTGGAAGACGAAGCTCGATTGGGATGAATTGGTCCTGTAAGCTTTATAATCGAAATGGTCATCGTTTGCAAATCAACTCCCACTTATTAATAATTTATCAGTAGACCGAAAACTCATGTTAGAACACTCGAACAATATTCAAATTCACGATTTTTGCGACACGAGCAAAGCAGGATATGGCGCGTGTATCTACATATGTACTTACGTTCCTGTGATCGAGAGGGCTATACCCTCGTTTGGCTTGCCTGTGCCAAATCGCGGGTCGCGCCTGTCAAAGAAACTACCATGTCACGGCTCGAACTATGCGGCGCGCTTGCACTTGCTCGGCTCTAGCGAGAAGCACGGGCTGCTCTTGATTTTTCGACCGATCGCGTTGTTTTTTGATCAAACTTTACAATCATATTACAATGGCTTAAGGGATCATTCTGGTTTACAATTTTCAAAAAATCGATTTTTTTTTTACATTTTTCGAAAGTAGATACAGTAAAAGCTGGATATATGCAACAAACATTGGGAGCCAGACGTTGCATATATCCAGCCGAGGTGTCGAATCTCGAGTTACACGCGACGACCAGCCAAGTGTGAACGTAGAAAAGGACAGACAGTGGCGGAAAGAGAGAGGTCCGATTATCAAAGGAAAGAGCCGAAACGTATCGGTGTGACCAATACTAATTGAATCAAAAAACTTTTTTATTTTTGACTTTTTTTTAATGAAACTTGTACTAGCGCATTGGTCAGATTTTTGTGATTAAAGTGGTACCAAACACGATATAGTTTCAATTATAATTACTTGCTAAAATTGATGTTAAAAGTTGGCAAAAAGCAAAGAAGGGTTGGAAATGAAAACCGGTTGCGGTGACGGTTCTGCTTTCAAACGTTGCATATACCCAGTCGAGGTGTCGATTCTGGGCATTTAATGTTGCATATATCCAGTCAAGGTGTCGATTCTGCGTCCGTACACATCGTTTGTATTCAGCCGCGATACCTATTCTACGTTCGTACACAACATGCGATGTGTTGTATGTTGCATGTTGCGTGTTTGATGCATCTTTGGTGTACGGCTTGCCTTATGTTTGGTATCATTTTAATCAGAAAAATCTCACAAATGCGTTAGTAAAAGTTTCATTAAGAAAAAGTTAAAAATAAAAAAATGTTATCGTTCAATTAGTATTAGTCACGCCGATATTACGGTCGGATCATATTACACGGTTTCCTCGTGGAGCGGCTCTGTTCGAGCGTTCGTTAAAAAATTAAACAATTTATAAAACGTGCCCGATAGGGACCACCGAGGTGTTCTCTTCGGAGAATAAGATAACGTCGAGAAGTGTGAGGAGACGAAAATGTATCGCGTTCAAAAGGAAAGTCAGTCGTCATCAGATCTCGGGCGCGACCGGTCAAATACTTATACTTTTATATCGCGTATTCGGGTCTAAACAATTTTATTTCATTGTAATTACGTAAATTCTTAATAACACAACATCTGATCATCTAAAATCACGTCGTCAGCCACCTAATGTCAATTAACGTCTCTCACGACGAAAAAACATTACTTAACGTCTTTCACGACGGCTGGACGTCTCTCTGCGCAAGAGACTCCAACGGAACCTGGTTTCCGTACCATCTTAATTGGACGTCCTTTCGCACGAGAGACTCCAACGGGAACTGTTTCCCGAAAAATCTGTTATCACGCGATTAGTCAATCGCTGATGGGCGCCCGACCTCGTGTACACGAAATCATTCAAAACACGCGCGACACACTCACACACAAAACACACAATTCAAATTCAAGGGTTTTTTACGCCTTCGGGCTTTTTCCCTTTTTCAAATAACAAAATCAAGGGTTTTTTATGCCTTCGGGCTTTTTCCCTTGTTTAATACGAAAATAAATTATCACTTTTTATACCGGATCAATCTTGACTCGTAATTTAATAAACCAGCTTCGATTCATCCTGAATATCCTACCAAAACGTAACATAATTTCGACAGTTCCCCGAATTTCCATCCGGTCTTATCGCTCTCGAATGTTTAGAAAACTCGAGAGCCGAAACTAAAGGGGGAACGAATTCGAGGAGAGCTGAGATCGAGAGGACAGGCATTCTCGTTCCAGCCTTCTTGTATCTAACATACGAAAACGCTTCGGTTGAACGGTTTCGATCATACAGGCTCGGTTCGCCTAGGGGGATCCCCCAAAGTGGAGGGGATAGAGATGTTGCAAATATCCAGCTTTTACTGTATATCTAAAAGTACTGTGTTACAATTTTAGAACGATTTTAGAGTCTAACTATGTTATTTTGTGACTTGTACGTTGCTACTTTTACTACCTGAGCGTGCTCGCCTGTTACGCCTTTTGTCTAATTCATTCTACGTGCCTCTATTTATTGATACAGGTACTCACTTTTTTTCTTATAATTGAACCATTTTAGGTAAAGTTTAAAATTGAAGAAGGACTTTGAAACATTTGAATAACTACAGTAATATTAGTTTTCACTCCAACTTTGAACGAGCAACATCTGTGCGTGTGTGATTTTTCACTATGGAGAAAAAATCTACCAAAAATGGTTCAAAACGCCCAAGTAGACCGGGTAAAAAGTGAAAGTTTCATGGCAATCGATTTACCGATAAGCATGGAAGTGGGCATATAAGTAAGTCGGCTGAAAAATTGGAAAAATCGAAAGATGCGACTTTCGATATGCACATCAACCAAACGTCTGGTTACAGTATTATAAGTTTTTTTCTTGTTTTCTCAATCTTATGCAAATATTTAAAGTGTAAAGATTGCAACGGAGAAGTTTCGTTCACTAAATACGGACAGCGAGGCTTAGGTTTCAAAGTGTGTTTGAATTGGAACTGGTTATGAAGTGAATCGTCGCCTAGTGTTTGTGATGCGTTTACCTGGAGTTGGTTTTCATGGGATAGAAATGTTTTGTAGCCTCATGGAGTTAGGTACAGGATTAAGTATCTCTGCTTATTATGGAATCGTTGATAGCATCATCATTGCTATCGATGCTGTTTTCCATTTAGTGTCGCGCAAAGCTGTTGCCGAAGAAAAAATCGAAAATAAGAAAAATGGAGAACCAGAGGCTATTTTAACTGTTTCTGGTGTTGGCTCTTGGTCGAAAAGAGGCTTCTCTTTTCTAATAGGAATTGTTTCTCTAATTTTCAAGCACACTGGAAAAATCGTGGACGTTGCTGTAAAGTCAAGTTACTGCAAAGTATGTGAGTGGTGGAAAAGAAAAAAGATAAGGTGGACTATCTGGCCTGGTATGCAGAGCATTGTAACCGCATTCTCCCTTCGAGAGTGGGTAGGATACAGAGAGGTTGAAAAAATAGAGAAAACACTCAGGGTTTATCGGGAAGAAGTCACAGAGCGGTTTATTTGTAGCTTCGTGACGGTTTGAACATGGATTTATCCGAGAGCGCGACCGTTACGCTCGTGCGTCGACTTTGAATAGAATCTTGGAATAACGCGTCCTTGACGCTCTCGTTGTACAGTGATGCTCGGCTAAATTTCCCAACGTTCGGGAGTCAGCAGTGAAATTTACGCGAGCAGGGTAGCGTTTTTATTCCGAGAATTGATTCGAGCAGAACTTGACAGAGTAAAAGAATAGATACGATAGGAGGAAGCGAGATAGACGTACTACATCTAGCAGCGACGGTCGAGGCACGGCACTTCAAAGAAATGCCGCGAGTGAAAAAAGTGAACATGCAATAACGAGAATTTCACTATCAGTAATTTTCAACTTATTTTAATGAAAATTATACCATTGGATTATTGAGATCGTTCTGATTGAAATGAGTCCAAATACGACGTAAATCGGATTAATTTTGTTGGTAGTTCATTTAAAGAAAATTGTATAAAATCGTTATGTAGTATGATTTCTACAAATTAAAGCATTCTTAAATAGTTTTTTATATATATATATATTTTTGCGCATACATTTTGTTTTTACTCTCTATGTTCTTGAAAGTGATCGTTTAAGGCTTTTGCATATTTTTGGATCAAAGGATCATATTGTTTTGACCATGCAACGATAAGGTTTAAAGCTTTTGCAACTTCGTGTTCTTTAAATTGAAGTTGGGTTGAAGAATCACCTTCTTCTTCTTCTTCTTCTTCTTCTTTTCCAGCTTCGTTTTCGTTTCCTTCATCATATGAAAACCTATTTTCTTCCGTATCGCATGACGTGATCCAATCTGCAATTTCTTCTTCGCTAATTTGAAGCATTTGAGCGATAGACGTTTCTGAATATGTGTTCACTTCTTCGTGTTCTTCATAATCGGTTTCTTCAATTACTTTATTCCCAAGTAAACGTTTCCAAGAATTGTTAATATTTTCTGCTGTCACTTCCTGCCAATATGTATCTAAAAGATTGATACAATCTCTAATATTATATTTCAATAATTCTTTAGCTAATTTATGTCGAAAGCATAATTTAAATTTCGCTATTACGCCCTGGTCCATTGGCTGCAGTATCGACGTTGTGTTTGCAGGGAGATATAAAAGTTGGAAGTCCTCATTGTCTAATGATTTGGCCGGCAAAACATGACTACTGCAATTATCAACAAGAAGAACTATTTTTCCAACTCTGTTAGTCCTTAATTGTTCTTTCTTGACTGCAGGCTTAAAGAAATTCTCGAGCCAATTTTTAAAAATGGTTCGATCTACCCATGTGTTCTGTTGTGCTTTATAGACTATCAGTAGATTGTTAGAAGATTTCAGAGCTCGCGGTTTTTTAAATTTATGTACAAATAATGGCGATAATTTATGTGATCCTGTTATATTTGCACATAAACCTACGGTGATGCGGTCTTTTTTCGTTTTGCCTCCACTGATCTGCTTAACTGTAGAAGGAGCCAAAGTCTTTCGGGGTAGACTCTTCCAGAATAACGCCGTCTCATCCATGTTATAGACGTCATTCCAATTGATATCGTTTTCTTCTAAGTATTTTGAAAACGTGGAAGTAAACTTTTCAGCTGCTTCATAATCCGCATCTCTTCTTTCACCGGCCATTTTGAGAAGGCGTATATTATGGCGTTTTTTGAAACGCCATATCCATCCCCGACTGCAAACATAATTTGACGGGCCGTCACAATTTTCATTTAATTTCGCCGCTTTATCTTGCAATATCTTATCGGTTAAAATGTTGCCCATTGTTGATTGTTGTATAAACCACAAATATAATTTATTGTCCAATTCGGACAGTGCGGGTTACTTTATTCTTTTGCGATTTGCAGTTATGGACTGTTGCAGTTCAGCTTGTTGTCGTAACTGTACTGCATTTTTTTTTATTTGATACACTGTGCAGACAGAAATTCCAAATTCACGAGCCAAGTGTTTTAGCAGGACACCATCCACCAGTTTCTCGGTAATGTGCATACGCTGAGTTATAGTCAGTTGCTTGTATTTCTTTCTTTCAACGGATGACATTGTATGTAATTCGTAGGAGGAATAGTTTAACCACTAAATTAATTATTAAATTAAACACTAAATTAACCACTTAATTAAACACTAATCACCCAATAATAATAATAATAACGTAATGTGCTAAAGTTTTTTCGACCCGAAGTATGTATGTAAAATATATCCAGGATTGCCTCGAAATAAGCAAGTGGTCTTTGCTTCGAAATAAGCAACTTGCTATCCCCTCTTCTTTGTTTGAAATCGCCCGCAAAGTGAAAGGCACGAAACTCAGTGAGAGATCCGTTTGCCGCTACCTCGGATCTCTTACTCGTTTCTACAAGTAACGTATGTTGGACGATTGTATTTACGTTATCTAATAATTTCATAAGAAATCAGGTAAAGTTAATCATAATGTAAATCATAATGGATCATGTACAGTAAATATGGTTCAAATTATATCGTGTTTGGACTCATTTTAATCGGAAGAATGTCAACTACCCATCGGTGTTACAATTATAAACGTAAGACGAAAATGACTGAAAATAAAATTTTCTTTACTGCATGTTTACTTTTTTCAGTCGCGGTATCCATTTGATGTGCGTCTGTCTTCTTTCTTTTCATTGTATTCATTTTCTGTCCTTGTCTACTGAGATCAGGTTTCGCGAGCTCGCTGTGCTGAGTGGTGGGAGAAGAGTGGGGCTGGGCCGTGGAAATTTAACCGAGCAGATTTCAGTGAAATTTAGCCGAGCATTACTGTATATACAAAAAAAAACTTCGCCATACGCTCGCGGAGCTATACGCGCCGGTTAACGTACTCGCACGCTCTTAACACATATTTAGCTATGGAGACCTATAGTCGAGTTCGGGTGTGCTTTACTATGATTACGTGAGCAACACGGGAGCACCGACTGTCTCTAACATTCCTCACGGCTCGCTTTCACAGTTTTCACGTTTGCGCGGATTCTCATGAGTCCGGTTGAGCCGGGAAAACTGCCTCAGGTTGCCCGTGGAGCATGTGAACAATCTCGGGAGCAATACCAGAGCACGATGATTCGTAGCTGGTAGTTGGTTTGCGAAGAGTGCGAATTTCTCGATCGAATTTGACTGAGCTTGGAATGCGTCTGTTCGCATGGGAGCCTCGACGACAAGTGCTCGTCCTGCGGATTGGCAAGCACCTCGCTCCCTACCCGCGGCAGCGAAGGGGAGTCTCGCGTTTGCGCGTATCCTACCTCGGTGCAGTGGAAGGGCGGGCGCCTTAGGGTCCCTACATTTTATAGCGTATTGATGGGAACATCGATCGGTTACAGCATAAAAGAGACTGTTGTACAAATCACGAAGGTAGTGCTGGAAAGATGGAAGTTGACGGTATTGTTGAGATGTTTCTTCGATCATTAGAAAAATTTGCTGTGAAGTATGGGTTTTATATTAGCGACGCAGATTCTAAAACATTCAAAATGCTGCAAATGTCTTTCCGTATGGTGGAGATTTTACTGTAAAAAAGTTGGAGTGCGTTTTACATGTTGTAAAACAAGTTTTTAAGCGTGCTATTGAAGCAAGAAAAGCTCTTATTCAAAAGAAAAAAGCCCTAAAGCAAGCAGAAAATTAAAAAACCCCAGCGGAAAACACTCCAACAAAAAAAACTGCTGCAAGAAAATTTGTCGCAAAAAAAAGTCGTAATAAAAATAGTTCCTGCAGTTAAAACTCAACAACTGACTATAAAATTAGTGAAAGAATTGTCAAATAATTACGGATTAGCTGTTCAAAGGAATAAAGATTCGATTGAAAATATGCGAAATGAAATTTGGGCAGGATTCTATCACAAAATTTCAACTGATGCCAATCCACAGTACTCATACTGTTCGGTCAACTGGTGCAAATACCGCAAAGCTGAGGCAGCTAAGACTCTTCATACTTATTAACATCCTCCTGCTCTTGCTGAAGATGTCAAAGAAGTTTTAAAACCAATGTATGAAGATTTGACGAAAACGGAGTTGCTTGAAAGGTGTTTAGGTGGGCCTACACAAAATAACAACGAAAGTTTCAACAAATGTGGTTGGAGTATGACGCCTAAACACATATTTAATGGCAAAAAAATAGTTGAAATTTCGTGTAAATTAGCAGCCTGCATTTTCAATGAAGGATTTGATCCAGTGATTATGATAATGAACGTCATGGGCTTCAAACTCGGCCCGACCGCTGTCGATTTTGCCAAAAGTGGCGATGACGGGCGTGTGCGCTAAGCTAATCGCCGCAGCTCTCAATCTTCCAAAGAGGCCAGAACAAAGCAGAAGAAGGCTAAAGTGGAAGAAAATGAAATTTTCGAAGAGACAGAAGGCATTTTGTATGGTGCAGGCATCGCTGATTAACTTCAGGTAAAACTTTTTCCTGAAAAAAACTTTAAACGCGTTTTTCTCAAAACTACGTTTTTTCGGTCGGCGGCGGTGATTTCTTCGGAACCACTGAACCGATCCTTATGAAATTTTAACCACATATTCTACTCGTGAATAGCTTCAGCACATTCTACAACCGTGTTACGTTGCGCGACGCTAAGCGAGCGCACAACGTAAAAGATCAAAAGATTTATTAGAGTCTTTCTTTCTTTAATTCTGGACGATGAGAAAGGTCTTGCTGCCACCAGTTCTGACTGCGTATGACGCGTTAGCGTCCTCTACGGTAAGAACAAATTAAAAGACGGAAATTTAGATTTTAGTTTATTTCCGTTGGGTTCATCAGTGTTCTGGGTCCCATAAGGGTCTCGCCTTGAAACGTTATGTTGGTGTGCGTGGATTTGAGATGATAAATGTGGCTGAAAGAAATGATTAAACTGGTTAGTGTGTAAAAGAAATTAAATATAATTCAAAGAAACTATTGTAGCTAATACAAACTGGATTTTAAATGACTATTGAATTAATACTGTTAAATTCTGATAAATACTGATAGATACTGATTCAGACTAGAACAATTATAGTTAACAAGGGTAAAGATGCTTAACCTATTTTATAAACGTGATTCGGTCAAAAACGTAACTTTCCTTTGATTCGTGTTCGCGTTTTTAGCGTGGTCTGCGAGGACTGAGATAAACACGCCTGCGTAACGATCACAAAGGTTTATTGTACAAAGAAATATACACTAGTCACGCGTGGTCTGAGTCTGTACACTATTTACACTTATAACTACTTAAACTAATCTTAATTATAAAGAACACACGCGTGGACTAAATACAATATATAAGTAAAGCGCGGGCTGAAACAATCAGCGTCGCGTGGGCTGAAAACTGCGTATCTCGCACGAAAGCGTGAGCAGATAGAGCACGTGTGCACGCGTCAAGCGATCGAACAAGAAGAACAAGAATCGATCATGGCGTCGATCGTACCGGTTCCGCGTGGAGAGGGGACCGCGTGGACAAAGTGGGCCCGAGAGGTGCTGCCGTCATCGGTAACGGCGCACCAACGAAGTATTTTCGTTGCCAACTTCATCTTTTCGCGTAATCATGGGAAATTTCGCCAACAATTCGCAATAAGACTTCCAATATAATTTTGAATGGTTATAAGTTGAAATTTGAACGTTAGACGACTGCCTTGACAAAACAGAAAGAACGAAAGTTGGCGGTGTCTATCCGCAAGGGAACGACCTGAATGAAGGGACTCTTACAACCCCCGAGAGGGCTTTACAGGTCGTCCCTGATAAATCCAGAAATCGAAGCAATCGTCTCACCAAAATCGCGACAGTTGGAAATGCGGAAAATATATATATAATATATGATTCGGTACCTGAACGTAAAAACGATCTAAAATGAAGAGACTCTTACAACCCGTAGGCTTAATAGATCGCCCGTTTTGCCTTGTTGAAAATCAATTATAATGCCGTGCTCGACAAATTAGTAATGAAAAGTAATGTGAGATCTAATGAAGAGAGATGATAGAAGCGTTGTTGCACTCGCACTTGTCGCGCGCGTTTAGCCGAATAAATTGTAATTAACGATTACGTAAGACGTTCACAAAGACGATTACAAGATTTGAAAAATGAATAATTAAACGCGATGAATTTAATACGAGAATTTACGCGATCAAACGGATTAAAAAGAAAGAGAAAAGATAGAAATTTAATAGTGTGAAATGGCTTAACGTTGCGCGTCTCTGAGTTCTTGCCGCGTATTCGGAATTTCACCGTCGCGACACTCTGCCTATGATTAGGACTTGCCGCGCAGTTAAATTACACAAAGTACAAAAGCAACTCTATCTCTAGACGCACGGGCTCCCGTCACGACTTACTCGATTGTTCGACGAAGAGTGATCAGAATCGATCGCGATCCTGGCCGGAAGGGCCCGTCGCGAGGACGATGTCCTGCATGGGGACATCTCGACAAATCACACCGCGTGACGACAGCGTCGCATGCGACGCTATTGGCTAAGGGCGCGTGCTAGCTGAATTCCTCTAGATCGTGCTTTCTCTCTCTTCTGGTGTTCCATCTCTGTCTAACGGCTTTTCGGTGTTTCTACGCCGTAGAATTTCTGGAATATTCTATTCTCATCGGTAATCTCATTATTAGACATAAAATGATATAATTATCAATCTAATAGTTTAAATTTGAACTATTGAATTATAAATAT